TTTAGAAAATTATTCGAGATAAAGATGTATGGAACTACTGAAAATTACTTTAGATTCCTTTTCCTTATTCTGTAAATTCTTTGATTGGAATATGAATGCTGCTGGAAGTATGAACATTTTCACAGGACAATGATATAAATGGAACTTTAAAACTTTTTTAAGTGTTACAGTGATATGTCGTTGTATATTCCATAATTTCAATAATATTGATTTCCCCACAGCATTCATAATTATTACAAATGTTCGTTGTCACTGTTAAACTGTTGTAATAACAATGGAATAATAAAATAATTTACTCAAATGTAGGCATGGAGAGGGTAAGCGCTCGCGCGGAAATCCCATGAATCTGGCATCAGTTGGTGACGACGACGACGACGACGACGACGACGATGACGAAAAGAGGGGCACGTCTCCCAAGAAATTGAAAAATGGATGAGTGTTACCCGAAAAGACGTGCGCAAAAGACATGCGAGGGCAAAAAATATATATATATATATTGTATTCTAAGTGACGAACTATGTATTTTATGGGTCAGTGTCATTCATAAGATCATCAAATCCTAAAGTAAATCTTTGATTTATCTCTGTAGAATGTAAGGGAAATTCATTCCTATTTTTTAGTGTTAAAAGTCTTTGATTAAGTGGTATGTAAGAGTCCTTTATATCAGCAAATTCATCATTAGACTGATCACAAATTGCAATACTTGTTTCACATTTGTTAGATTCTGCCTCACTATTAATTACTGTCTGCATCCTATTGCAATTTTCAGTACTTTTCACATTGGAATTAGTTTCGTCCACAGATATACTACTAAACTGAAAAACTTTTTTCACGCTGCATATGTTATCAATTATTTCTGACATATTTAGCTCCTGTTCCTCGTTATCGCTAATAAAATCATCCGGTGAAAGTTCATTGAACATTCTGTCCAATGTACGATTCAATTTTGAATTTATTTTCTCCAATTGTAATACCTTATCAAACTGAGGTCCACGTTTTATATTTACACTGTAATTTTGGTTTTCCTGTTGCTTTTCTACCATTTTAGATCTTTTTGGTGTAATATTCATTTTTTCAAATGATTCTTCCAACGATAAAGCAGTATTTTTGGAAACAAATTCATCAATTCTTCTATTATTTTCAATATCGATAGGCTTTTTGCCACCTTTTTTTGGCAGTCTACTTCCCTTTTTATCTTTTTCACTGTCTTTCCCAATAATTACATTTTCTGCCTTTTTCTTAGTTGGTCGTTTTTTTGCTTTCAAACTTCTAGCGTTATCAAACGCTTCAACTATCTCTGGATAACAGTCCAATACTATATCCTGTGGTTCAATACTAGTTAATTCAGTTAAACTGTCATCAGTACTATCATCCCGTTCTTTATATGATGCCATATACTTTTTCAATTTTTCTACTACATCATGGTCTATACGCCACATTATTTCATAACTAGCAACGGATCTAATATTACGAATTTTTTTTATCGCTTCAGGTACGAATAAATCGGGTATTAATAAGCGATCTTCAAGAGAAATATTCGGTAAATGTAGAAGTTGCCATCGTGTTACTAAAGGAAATACTTTTTCAAACGCATACTGTGGTTCCCAAGATAAATGTCGTTCCATAAAATCCTAATTAAAAATCAATTAATAAGTTCACAAAACCTACTTAAAACATATTATTTTATGTAAAAACTTACTATCAATTTACTTATTTGTGGTTGTCTCCATTGTAGATCTACTTTTCTAGGTACAGGATCTTTCCTAATCAGAAATTCATCTAACAATTCTTGACTGGGAAAATCTTCTGCTAGAAGTGCTTTTTTCCGTAAAGCAATTTCATTTAATATTAATGCCCTTTTTTCTCTGAAAGAATATGTTCCAACAAATGTTTTATATGTCTTAAATAAGTAATGCAATATAAGTAAAAATTTACCTACTTATAAGAATCATTACACCTAACAGCGGTCCCACAATCTACACAACCTGATTTAGCATGCTTTTGTACTTTACCATTGTGACCACAAGATGTACATAAATTTGAACATTGTAATTCTGTTTCCTTCTGATCTAGCCTACTATCTGTCCTCCAACTTTTTATTCTAGAAAAATAATGTGTCACATACCCTTATATGATAAATAATTATTGGGTTCGATGTTTATATTATGTAAAATAAACAAAGATAAGGTATATTACGTTATGAAGTTAGTATATAAAGAGCAACATCAAGCACACGACATTCACTGCACAGTTATAGTTTAAGTGTACTTAAAGTGATTAGTGATAGGCAAGTCTTGTGTTTATTTATAAAAAAGCTATTTAGCGGTGCACGTTCATGACAATATTTATTGAAATGTCTTACACACCGTTCAAGAATATCTTCATCCTTTACAATTTTAAAAAGTTTCATTGCTGCTTCTTTACCAACTCCATTCAATCCATCATTATAATCACATCCACATAAAAGAGCTAATGCTATCATTTTATTTCTCCCTAAATTCAATAGCCTCTCTATTTTTTCTAAAGTGTACTTATCTACAGCCCCACCTGAACCACCCCGATTTCCTTGAGCACTTGTACAAAAATTTCTATAAACTACTTTTGCTCCATATAAAAAACAGTCACTGTCTTGACTTATACATCCGTCAACGAGCTATAAAAATATTTATTGAAACTAGGATTAAACAGAATTCATGTTGCTCAATATAAGTAATTGCAAATTGCTTACTCCATCTTCATTTAAATAAGCACACATTGCTTCAGCTTCTCCATGTCCTTGCACACAGGCTAAGCCCATGAAAATAAGCATTTCTTTGCACTCCTTAAGAATTCTGTTAAATTGTGATCTTGTTCCTTTATGAGAAGTTCTTTGTTGAAATCCATTACGAACATCATTTCTTTTGGCAATAGTATTATATTTAATAGTAGGTGCTTTTCCCTCTAATACAAATACTGGCCATATTCCTTGCAGAAGAAGGAATGCTGTACGAAAATATAAATTCCTACAATAAACAAGAAATTATATAATTTTATTCAGTTTAAATTCCAAATTAATGACCAATAAAACTGACAGAAACGAACCTTAAATACATTTTCGGCTGAACTGCATTATCTACGACTGTTTGACTATCCACAACCCAACAACTCAAATCAATTGCTACCGTTTTCCCTTGGAGTTCAAACATAGGCTGTCTGTCGCACAAAGGCGATACAATATTCCAAAGATCCTTCACTCCCATTTTAAACACTTTGAATCAAATATCATAAACAACTGTAATCAACTTCTACCAACTTCTACACACCACAAACGCCCTTTAGGAGGCTGTAGCTTAGGCTTAGAGATGGCGTGCAAAATCACTAACGGTGATTTATCACAGTGATCACCGAATCACGATCACGGTCGTGATTTAACTTCATTTACGACCATGATTGTGATTTTTTTATCTTGAGTGAATTTGCTCATTGCGATCGTAAGTCCTTGCTCTTTAAACAGAAAAACGTATTCAATATGATTTTACGGTGAATTACATTACTATTTGTGTTTGTAAAAATCAGTTGAAGAAAACAAGAAATTCTAAAAGAAAAATTTGCTAGGTAACATGTAGATTATAATTTATAATCATTAATTTATTCATTATTCTTCATTGTTTCTAATTATTCCTTCACTTTATACGATATAACTCGAATTTTTGTTTTGATGTTGTTAATATAAAATATACAGATTATGGCCGGGATTCATAGTCACTACTTATTCTTGCAAATACTTAAGTTCCCAGTTATGAATGTACACGTGTATATGTATGGACTACACATTTATAACTGGGCACTTAAGCATTTGTTTAAGAATAAACAACGACTATGAATCCCGCCCTACGTGTCGCGTGTAAAGAACTGTTAGATTTCTCCACCAATCAGAAACGATCACGAGAAATCACGAATCACTGTGAAAAATCACCGTGATTGGGAACGAACGTGATCGAATCACGAGTGATTCATAAGTAGTAGTTCACGCCATCTCTACTGTAGCTGTAGAAGGCTCCGTTCAGCTCCGTTAATCGTAGTCATATTGGTCATATGCATATAATAGACTGCGTGGTCTTATAGTAGGGATGAAGACTTCATCATGAAGTCGGCAGTAGAAAGAGAGGACAATAACTGGAGTAACTATCCTCTCTTTCTAATGGGGATGTTGGTGGGGGATTCTCCTACGGCTGATGAAGGCATTAATGTGTGCAGCATTCCTTTTCCTCATCGCCCTCGAAGGGCTCCAAGCCCCAAGCACTTTCTACCCACCCTCTGCGATGTGCGAGCATAGACATATTTAGACGGAGCATAAGGTACCACTTCGAGCAAGGAGACCGTAGGATTGGAGGGGAACTCTAATAGCATACATGTATGTAATGTGATTGTACACCCGAATAGCACCGAAAAGGAACGAAGTTACCCGATTTACCATTACCCACGCCCTTACCGCGAATCTTACTCCTTTCGCTCAGTTAATGTTTCGTCTATACATGCTATGTGTGCGAGCGAGAGAGGAACGACCAGGGCCACGACACTCAATGTATTCTTTTGTTGTGTTGCGTTCTTCTTAGGGAATTTTAAAGCTTCGTGGGAAATATGGCGTGAGCTAGCGCCTATGGGGCGCTTTTAATTGTGATTTTGTATTTAAGTATTCAATTAAATAACAATTTCAATTCAAACTGTTCACAATTCTTTAATTTTAATTTCAACACCCTTTTACACTTATATAAATGAATTTAATTTTATAAATACTCTCTATGTTCGAGAACGCGTCTGGATAGTTGTAATGTCCAGAGATGAATGGTGGAAGAAAAAAGCAAGGAGCGTCATCTCCTTGCCGAATTATAAAAACAAATACAATTTGTTTATTAACAAAATGTCTTAGATACTGACATCCAATCAGGAAATTATTAATTAATTAAAACGACTTCCTATTTGCCAATCCATTCCCTGTCATTTATCAACTGTCCAGTTTGCGAGTGTTTAACATCTTAGCATTGGTTTGCATATTAGGAGAAGGAGATAAAGAGAAATTATTCAAACATAAATAACTTGAAATCTATCCTTTTGGATGAGTAACTACTGATTTCAAATCGTTTCCTACATGTGCCAACTTCACCTTTCTCCCTTCTCCTATTACATTTCTTTCAAACTTCGCGCTTCCAACACTCGTATATCGATAACCCTAAATATCGCTTGAACTAAAGACACTACCCACGACAACGTAACAGTTGTTACGAACAGTACCCTCTTGCGGTTTAGGGTAAGAATGAATTTCTACAGGCGGGGAATTTAAATTACGTGTTTTGTTCTCTTCAGTTAAATTGAACCACCGACTAGGTATAGAATAGACCAATCATCCAATGCTTTTTTCTGTCCCACGTTCGCAGGGCTCATAGCTTGTTACCATTTTAGTGTCAATACCCGACGTTACCGATAAAGCATGAATTCTGAGTATTATTAGCACAAATGAAATGTTATATATTCCATCCATATTGCGTGTATCTACATGATTTGACGGGAATAAAAATATCCGATGCTTCAGTTTAAGGTTAAGGGATAAATATGACAGTCATGAAACATGAAACGGGAAAGTATATGTATGTTTTCACTTAACTACAAGACAATTTATTCTAAATGCATCGTTAGTGGACATTTTATTAATGTTTCTTTTTACATATTCTTGTTTTATTCGTTTTTATACTTTGCCTTACATTTGTACATTTGTAACAAATAAATTCAGAATAGATGTAGTGTCATAAATAGTTTATCAAATCTACATGTGGGAGAATATACACCGCTTTTATTAACATTTATATATTTATAATTTATATGGAAGTATGAATAGTTTTACTGCCTACTGTAAGAATCTTAATACGCACGAACAATTACCTTTTGGCAATTGGTAAATTTTTACATATGAATTTACTTACACGTTATTTACTTACAAAAATTTTATTTATTGCGAGTAATTAAATAATGAATCAGATAAGTTTAAACAGGGTATGTTTAGCATTTTGAACGAGTGAGGATCCAAAATTATTATCAAATCATGACTACAATGTGGAGTTTAACATGCCAGGGGCGTATCTTGGACTCACGTGCCAGTATACGCCAGCTACGTGGCAGTACTCTAACGGTATTAGAAACAACAGTAGACATTCGTTTCCCGCGCCACCGTTATCTGTACGAAAGCCACGCCCCTTGCTCACACATATTTCTCACACGCGCGCGTACCCTACTCTGTCGCCCAGCACGCCTAGACCGGAACACATACGGTGTCGCGTTTAACTCGCATATCTCATCACGGAAAGCACAGTGTACACAATACTGTTTTAATAATTTTTTTATTGGTACAATGAATATTGGTGGAATGAATATTGGTAGCAATTTGATTGCTTCTTGTCTCGCGAATCACACGTAACGGGTAACAGATGCTAACCAAGCTAGACATTTGCCACTAAAATATGTCACGAATTATTACCTTTTTCACATATTACCTTAATACTTTATTACGCAGAATGTTTGAAAGAATTGATTTATGTAATAAAAGTATTTTATTCCATAATATTTCAATATCATTAATAAAAATAACATAATTAACTTTGAAAACTTAGCCCTCTTCATACTGAACAACTTCTGTAAATAAACTTTTCTGATATCTCTAAAAATAACGGAGATAGTTAATGTAACCGTAAGGTGCGCATATCCAGCCCACCCTACATGTAGCTGCGTCGCACGACTGAACTCAGGTAACTGGCGTTTGCTTCCTGCACGGTTCCTGGAATTCTGGCCCGCTACAGCCCTGACTAGTGCGGGAAACGAATGTCTACTGTATGTCGGTCGGAAGTTTTGGTAGTCCGCCGCAGCATGACAGCACTCTGGAGGCCCAGGTCTTGTTGGTCGTTGTTCCTCCAGCCGTGCTCGTCCTTGCCTCCATCCCCTTGGTGGTAAGGAAGTGAGGATGGTCTCCGGCCTTTCCACCGGAGGGTTGTCTTGTCTTCGTGGTCGTCGCCGTACCTCCAGTTCAGCAACTTCTCGAGTCCGGAAAAAAGTTCGTTTCTCCGCACCGTAGGCAGCGTCGGCCGACTCTACCTTTGTTCGCAGTAGTGCACACGTAATGGTTCAGTGTCGTGTTGCGGTTGGCTTTGAACTGATGGCTCACCCCTTGTTTCCTGCTCCTGTAACTTAAGAAACTTACGGGAAAAATGGTTTTCACTAAAGAGAGGTTAAGCTCTTTGGCTCTGCCCGTGTTTTCGTTCTATAAGTTGGAGAGAATAAACTATTGAGAGAATCTCATTACTTGCCCTGTGTAGAGGACAGTTTTCAAGCCTGAGTCCGTAATGTTTGGACAAGGGCGGCACTATCGTTACCTCTTTTCCTGGAAATCGTCAGAATGTCCCAACCGTCACCAGCACGATGAATTCTATGCACATGTTTACACTGTTACTGTAAAGGTCCGTCACTTGACGTTTAGCAGTAAAAAATGATGGATCAAAAAGCGACGAGGAATAGGCACTAATAGTCATACTTTTAGACGCACAGTAAGCTGAAGAGAAAAGAACAAAGAAGCGAGATCTAATTTAGGTACATCCAATATAAAAAAACAGAAAAGTTGAAGGGGGGTATCGGACTTTGATCAAAGAAATTCTCATATACGAGGATTTCCACGATTCAAATCCCGCCGTTGAGACGCCTGCAGTGCGATCAAGTAAACACGTGTTCGCCGTACAAAAACTCGCGCGAACCGTTGGGTCAACTGTCCCGCGTACTGTCAACCGTCGTGACCCTGGGCAGAAATCAGAATCAGACAGAACTGTTTGAACTCCACGAGCGAAAACACGTACCGAGACCGTTTGTTACTTGCGTATTATACCAAGCTATTCTCGCGTTATTGAAGTCCTTTACATACTGTTACAGTATCGTTTTGTTATACACCGACTTGTAAATTATCCATCATGCTGTATTCTCTATAACTGTTCACAGAGACGAGCCTAGAGGCGAATAAACTGGGTCTCACCACGGACATTCGGAGTACATCTTTTTTGGTCATCCAACCTCGCTCGACCAACTTTCGAGCTGGCCGAAACAACGAGTGTGGGAGATAACGGAATGATGACGTGTAATATAAGCAATCGATTTTATTGAAACACAGACAAGAAAAGTATATATAAAAAATTAAATGACACTTGTAGTACGTCGCGACGTTGACAGTTCCGTGTTTACAATTACAGGATCGACTGGTAATATGAGTCACTCGCGGCGCAGGTGTTTCATTTATATTCTCTCGTTTTTCGGGACGTTTCTCGCGCTGCCTTGTACACGTACACGGACGTACACCGCGCACGCACCCACTCACGCACGTACCCATACCAAGAAGCGTCAAACATTTGATTTAGGAAAATATTTTTATTAAATAATTATGTTAAGGGATAATTTTAGTTATCACTATATATTTATAATAAGAAGATTTGGTTTCTTCGCTAAACGTTTTGAAATATTAAGAATATTTTCATATGATTAATAATCAGAGATAGATTTAGCGATTTTCTTGTTAGAACACCTACCTAAGTGTAGTAACATGTGATTTTTTAGGTTAGTCGGTTTACTAAAACCCCGACTACATACATGGCACTTGAATGGCCATAATCCATTATGTACATACATGTGACTCTTAAGGTCCCCAGGCGTCGGAAACGATTTGGAGCACTGAGAACACTTGTGTGGTTTCTCCTATAAAGCATATAAATAATGTTGCAACGACAATTTTCATTATATTACATGGCTAAATGATTTTAATTAAATGAGGAACTGAAAAATGAGGAAGAAGCAAGTGTGTATTTTCTAAAATACAGACTTAACCTTACTCTATATTGTCTGATTTTAACACCTTAACTACAAAAAATTTCAACAGAGACCTACAACGATATATGAAGTGTGAATTTTTAGTCATTCCCTATTGAGTGTGAATAAGATACATCTACAGTAAGCGAGACAGACTCATTACTCGCGCGGTTTTCGATAATTTAAACGGACACCACATACGAATTGATATACCAACCATTCAGGGAAAAAAAAATATTCTCGTTAATTGTTGTATTTTTAGAAAAGTTTTGCCAGCAGAATAATGAGACTTTCACGTGAAAATGAGTCCAAACACATATTTTTTGTAAGTGTTACTGGTATGTAATATGCGACTGTTTTACAGTACATCGAATTATGTATAATTAAAAATAGACCAAATGTTGTCGTATTTGGACACTTTTCCTCAGGAAAATCTTAATAATCTCTTATAAATATCCCTTAATCTGTAATAAAGAACATAACAGGTTATTTCTTTATGAAAATGTGACTCATTTTGTGTTTATCTACCTAACATTTACAGCCACGCAATTATACAATGATACAAAGATTGTCTGAAATTTATAAGTGATTAATACAATTATGTTTAGAAGATTAATACCATTTCTCCGTGTTTTGTCACAAAAATTCATGCGAGAACCAGTTACGAATTAATGTCTCGTTCACAATTACTGGCATTTGCAATGTGAAGATAAATCCCTAGATAGACATTACAAGAGAATTGCATGAACTGTTATGCATAAATTTGTAAGAAATTTTATTCACAGATAGTAGACAAACAGATAAATTAGAGACACTGTAAATTTTCTAGTTGGGATCCCGAATGTTTGTAATGTTAAGGTATCCAGAGCTGAAGTCAGGTCGGATTGGGTTGGGATTCCAAAAGTTTGTAACCACATAAATATGATGCTTTTTCATGATTTTTCAATCGGATTTTGTACTTGAACTTTCAAGTTCAGAAGAGTTTTTGTATTCTGTAGTACAATCAGATGTACAGTAATTCCTCTATGAGAGAGACGAAATCGGCTCCGCTTCAGAGCATTCATAGCAAGGCGGAAAGGTTTTCAGCCCCCCATAAATAAGTTAAGGAAATACTTGTTCCAAATCGCCTCACGAGTGTCCCATTTCAGGGACCTGCAACATTTTTGTTACGCCCTGTATCTGTTCCAAAAAAATTAATCCTAATAGTTTTCTTTCTATCACTCACAAAACATTGATCACTTTCTAGTGCCGAGAAACGTATATGACCTTTCATGTGGTTTACACTTAAGATCGTGTACAGTGTATATTTGGTAATAAGTTGTGTAAGAAGATAAAGCAGTGTTCGTAATTTACTTCACCTCTACACTTCAAATATTTTTTGTCGATATAGATGTCGAATTTCCTTAAGGTGTCTTTATATTACATTGTAAATACCCGTCTTTAATGGAACAATTAATATATAACAATCTCAACACAAGTCTGGGATGAAAAAAATTTAACCTCAATATTACTAAACGCTTTGAAAGAATTATATAAAAATTGAAATACGACAGAATTTATCCAACGTCATGATAGTTATATATTTCTTGTTATCAAAAGTAACTTGTCCAGAACTTACCTTGATATGAGTCATGCGATGGTAATACAAATTGGAAGAGGCCGTGAACTTCTTACCGCAAACAAGGCACTGATGAGGTTTTTCACCACTGTGAATCCGTTTGTGCGTGTTTAAAGAGCTCGAAGTCGAGAAACCCTTGGTGCATACCACACAAACATGCGGTTTCTCTCCTTGAATATAATAATATTAATACTATTCAAAGATTATTCAAATCGTAATTATGCAGGGTGGGGCAGGACTGGTGGTACAACCGGACAGGGGCTCCTTCTACTTGCTAAAAAAGTCGAAAATACAGAATAAAATTTGTTCGCATGATGCTTCCCTTTCGAGATAATCGAACTCTAAAATTCATGTAACATAACGTACTGGTGCTGACAATAAATTTTACTTCATATCTCCAATGAAAATGGATTATGCGCCAATAACAAAATTTTGAAAGAAGTCCATTAATTTTTGAAAATGACATAAGAGAACTTGTGATTGACAATGATAACTCCGTTCAAAAAAGTAATTCTTTATTGTGTTTATAAAAAAATTATTACTAAAAAAAACACCTGTTATTAATTTTATATTTTTTAATAAAATGACCGTTAAATACCTTGTTAAGAGCCGAGAGCTAAATGGGCTTTTGGCTTTCGTTATAGCCGAGGATCGGTTGTTTGAATTCTTGTCGTGGATCGGCCAATGCTTATTTCATCACCAGGGTACCACGTAGGGACTTTGTGAATCACAAATTGCGTGAGACAAATTGTGACTCGTGGATCAGCCGATGCCTATTTCATCACCGGGGTACTATTAGTAGGTTGGTTTTCGTGGATCAACCGATGCTTATTTTACCATCGGGGTACCATCAGGAATGTTCGTTGACCTCGTAGCTTTAAATTAAATTCTTCAATTTATTAATTAATTATTAATTTATTATATTAATTCTTCGCTTCCAGTTCTTGGAACTGGGCTCACGGAAACATGTTTCATTCACATTCGTTACTTCTGTCTCGCTCAATCGAATTCTCGACACATCTATCGCCCAGATAAGCATCCAGATAAGATCCAGAACATAACTGTCCAAGAAATTTACCTTTGTGGCAGCGTTTTGCCCTCGTGACAATGCCGCAGACAAGGCAGTTGAACCAAAAATCACCCCTTAAATTTGTTCCCACTAGTGGTCGAACACCCTATGCATATATATAGCAATCTTTATTCGACATTTTCGACTTACTTGGCACGTAGAATGACTTCGTATCCGGTGGTACCACACGTCCTATCCCACTCTGTATATTAGGCTACACAAGACCAAAGTTTTATAATTCAAATACTTATAGTTTTTTGTAGTTACACTAGTAGCAATTATTGTTGGCATTTTGATGGGCCTTTGTTGCAGTATTGGTTGGCCAAAAGTTAGAATTGTCCTTTTTTGTACCTGGGCCAACGATCATACCCAACGTAGGGCCCACGTCACTATAATACGAAGGGCCAACTGAAGGTTTCTTTCTGTAAGGCCAATTGTTGAGTATCTACAATAAACCAATAATAGGAAGACAACTGGCTATCCACACTTCCATATCTACACTTCCATAAAATCTTTTAAAAATATTTGGAGAAGTATAACACTGGAAATAATAATTATAATAATTACTTCCCAGATAGCACATAACGACTTGAAGACATCCATTTTACAGCTATTTTAGGTCTGAACGACCGAATGTCCTGATTAGTAACAAAGATGTCTTTAAAACGCCTTTTGACCTTTGTTAGGCGTCTTTAAGACGTTTATAGACGTCCCTAAGACATCTAAAGGCGCCTTTAAGACATTGGTGTAGACCTGTTTAAGGCGCATTTGTAAATATATAATATACAAATATACATATTTAATAAAATGCGCCTGTATAACAAACAAGTAATATAAAATAAGTATTGTGTAAATATAGCTCTTCAATATTTGTAAACATACTGTGAATGATATATTTTACCAAACATGGTATGTAATAATAATAAAAATAAAAATAAAATCAACTGTAATCAAATTTTAAGAATTAAATACAAATGAAATTAATACAAATGAATTTGTATTAAGTTTGATTTCACTTCGATAACCCTGTTTGGTTAAATTTACATTATTATTAATGAGTCTCGATAAACATTTTAAATTCGTCCGAATAGCGTTTCATAAAGATCTGCATTTGACCTGATTTAGATCCGATAAATATGTCGCAATTACGTCTGTTTACGATGTCTTGAAGACGCCTTGATTTGTCACGTTAGACCTTTAAAAGACGTGAAAACGCTATTCCTAAGCTATTCAAGACGCCTATAGACGCTTGGAACATCTGAAACAGACGTCTTTAACCTGTCTTTAAGTCAGCTGTGTGCTATCTGGGTTGTTATAGTAATTATATACATGTATAAATTGTATATGTATATTAAACAGGTAAACAAGTGTTTTACCAGCAGTTAAAAGTTACCTTTATAATTATGTACAATTTATATATGTAGGAGCATTGGATGGAAGTCCCAAACCCACACTCGGCCATTCGCCCTTAACCCTTTACCATACCATTTAACTCGGAAGAATCCGGGCCCAAGCGATGAGCCCGAATGGTCGGGGAAAGAGCCGAAGCAGCGGAGACAAAGTGTCATTCATACTTGGCCCGAGATTAAGACCACGAGTTCGACTCGTGATATTTATGTTTGGCTCAAAATTCTCATCACGAGTCAGACTCGTCAAAGTATGGCAAGGGGTTAAATGTCTTCTGCGTACGTCTTCTTTCATCGTCTTTTTCGGGTAACACTCTCCCATTTTTCAACTTCTTAATAACAAGTTTTTTATTCTTTAATAACAAGTTTTTGGTTGTAGCAACATTTCTGACGTCTTTAAGACGATATTTAAATGTTGGCAAACTTTGGGTGGGAAAATGTTGTATTATCGTTGTAAATTTCTTGTTAATTAACAAATTATAATAATTGTCGGCCCAACATTGGATATTCGTTGACAAATTGTCATAATTTTTTCGTCGTAGGCCCTATTTTCTGAATTTGTAAACAAAAACACTAACTACATCCCAACTAACTCGCAACTGTTGGCCACCGTTGGCTAACCATAAATGCTACTAGGGTAATTACATCGTACCTATTCTCATATATTCTTCTGTTTCATTGTACTTAATACGTACTTTATTGATAATATTCAATTATACAGGATGTAACAAAAATGTTGTCCGACCCGGAAATGGGGCACTCGGGGGGTGAATTGGAACAAGTTTTTCCTTAGCAACAATGTAATCTGAGTCTTCGTTACTGAGATATTAACGAAAAACCCCGACCAATCAGAGCGCGAGTTTGCTAGCCGATTTCCCGCGGTAACGCTGCCTACCAGTCGCAGCGCGTAGTCATCGCTAGCGCGGGAACTCGGCTGGCAAGCTCGCGCTCTGATTGGTCGGGGTTTTTCGTTAATATCTCGGTAACGAAGCCTCAGATTACATTGTTGCTAAGGAAAAACTTGTTCCAATTCACGCCCCGAGTGACCCATTTCCGGGTCGGACAACATTTTTGTTACACCCTGTATATAACAGTTAGCAGAAAATCATGCATAATTAACAAATTAGAACGTTGGTATACAAAGTATAGAGGTGACAGTCTTGCACGATTGATAGTAATTAATCATATGCACTTACTCATAAAACAATAGTGTAAACTGCGATTAATACACTTCAGATTAGGACTCATGCAGTTTACTTAAGAAAATATTGTTTGTTTTATGCAATAGTAGTAGAACAAAAAACTTGTGCAGAATAAGTTAAAACTTATAGCATTATCGCAAGGATATCCCAAAAAGTATTTATTTATTCTAAGTTAGTTCAATAAACATTCAAGACCAGCGACTACTTCTGCGTGTTTTTTGCTAACTCTACTGGCAACAATACTTTTTTTTAATAAACTATGTATCATTTCTTAATTGAATGCATCCTACTTTAAAGTATATTGATCAAGGTTTATATTAATGTAAATTATAGTTTCTATTCCTAATAATAATATTGATTACATATGTAAAATGCGTTTATACGTATGTGGTGTGCGATTATTTTTGCGAGCAACTCCGATATGATCTTTATTGTCACCCCTGCCAATTTTCTTTTAATTTTCACACTTTTGTATTGCTGCCATTCTGCACCGTAAATACACGATAGAACAAGAGAAACGAAATAACATTCTAAACATATTTTTGAAGGTGTCAAATCTTTATTCGTAAATTTATAGTCTCTGTACCTGTATGTGTTCTCATGTGGCGTTTTAGCAGGGAAGGTCTGTCGAAAGATTTCCCACAAACTTCGCACGGTAGTAGAAGCCTTTCACCTCTCTTAATTGTAGTCAGAATACTACAGTCCAAATGATCTCCCGCCAGAGATAATGTTGATGAAGAAGACTCTTCGGATGTCGACTCGTATTCATCAACTTCGTAATACGGATGTGGAATTGCAGATGGCACGTGTTGAGAAAGAAGTGCCATGGACAAGTCTAATGGAGACTCTGGAAACCAAAATCAAAATATTGTATACTGTTTTCACTTGTTTTTTAATGGTATATTTTCATATAGATCAGAATTTTTAACACTATAAGCGAATTCAGTCGACGTGATTAGTGGTCCATATTATATTTACAGAAACCTAGTACAAGTAAGTGTCATTCACATTACGTCTGCTAGCAAAAAACAGATTCCAACTGCAGGAACTGAAAGTCGGTATTACATATTTTGATACGGTTATCATGTCAGGGGTGTCATTTGGAAATCTATATATATATCCAAACTCGAAATAATTAACCGTATTTTTCTGGTTTTTATATATTTAATAAGATCTCTCTAAAACTGAAACTTTGTAACTTATGGCCCAGCTTAAGTGAACATAATTCATACAAAGTTTACAAGTGTTGATGAAATTGACCCCAAATCACACGAGCGAATTAGCTATCAAAGAGTATAGTATACCAATTGCAGGAATTACTTTTATAAACAATTCTTTGTTACAGGCATAGCATGAAGGAATATTTTTAATAAATCCACGCGATTGAATTTATAATACAGTCGAGATGAAAAATATGCATTACATTTCTGCCTCTCCGCCTCTGTCTCATGTGAAATCTCAGATCGAAATAACGATAAATCAGCATTAAAAAAAATGCGTGACAGCGTATCGCAAAAGTAGAAAAAGATCTGCTCTTACAATACACGAATGGTTTCCAGTTCTTCTAAGTGTACAGCTACATGTTATATAGTAAATTATAAACAAGGCATGGGTTGGGAGAGAGCAAATATATGACTAAAAAATTTTAGGGGGAGCAATTTATTTTGGATACTTTTATCGCACTTGAGGACACTATATGTTAGAAACTGCCAAGATAAAGTTAATAACAATGACTTTTTGGCAGGAATGTATCTTAATATGAAATTCAATATCGTTTTAACCCAGCACACCGTTAAAGCTAGTAACCATTTTATACATACAGTGGTGCCCACTTGAGAATTCAACTAAACGAGAGAGCAATAACGATTGTAAGTGAGATACCGATATCTGACACTACATAGGGGACGAGAACTCGGGTCTGTAGGTTGCGTCACGTCGTCCGATATTTTCACCGGCAACTTGTCAGGCCCAACTCTTATTGTAAAACCGTGACATAGTTACCGGCTCTTTGGCACATAGTACCACCGTTTACTAAACCAACCGTGTATACGGTACCAACACATAGCAACCACCTCTTCGGCACGTAACATTACCGTCGTGCACAAGACTCCAACGTATCACCTGTCTAACGGCCCCAGTAACGCAATAAACAATAAGTTTCATATCAATTGTCGTATTGTGAATTAAGTAAAATGAACACCGAGACTGTGAATTCGAAACATTCCTTTATTTATTTAACTTACTCGAAAAATCCTTATAACAGTTATGAAAAAAAACAGGTTTCCGTAAACGCAGTTCTAACGAGTATTGATGACAGAATCGGACGCTAAAATGGGCAGAAACGCGGATGCTTATCGGGCACTACTGTACTTGCGAGTATAATAGGCAGAGAAAACATACGCGTTGCATACTAATTATGTGCCGAATATTTCAATCATAAATGAAGATGAATTTGAAACAGACGATGTTGAAAAAATTTTTTTGAGTAATTTAATGATAACAAACGCGGTCATAATAATTTTATTCGTGCATTAAATATTATGAATATGTTAAGGGAATTCTTAGAATACCCTCGGTTAGATTAGAAAGGCGCTATTTTACAGTTATGATCTAAGAAGAAACATAATATCCCGGAAGAGCATTCATTAGATAAAATGGCGTTATCAGTGCCTCCGACTCAAGTTAAAACTAAGACATTGATCTCTTCCTTAAAGTAGGTATTACCGTCTTTACGTTACAATTTCTTTCAATATATTCTTAATAATATTTACATAAGTTGTAATACAGGAAAACATTCTTCAATGAACTAATGCGTAGTCTCACGTTTCTATATTTTCTTAATAAAATTCGTTACGGGCGTAGACCGTTCGGAACGTTTTTCAAAAAATGACACTCACACTTGCCTATGACTAACACTTAGCACTTTTATTATTAATATAATAATACAACTTCTTGATGTTCATTCGCAGAATATTCTTAATTAACTGAGCCGTCGCGCACTTGATGTCGCTCTTTACACAGGGTGTCTCAAGAATGTCTCTCTTCCGGGAATGAGGGGTTGTTGGGATGATTTGAAACCACTTTTTCCTTAGCGAAAATGTTATCTGCGGCTTTGTTAACGAGATATTAACGAAAAACGCCGACCACTCAGAGCGCGAGTTTGTCAGCCGAGTTCCCGCGCTAGCGGTGGCTACGTGCTACGCTTGTACTATGAATTTCCGAACAAGCAAGTCGGCATGCATCCCAGGAAAGCGCGTATAATAGCAAATTAGAAAAGCATAACAAATCGAATTTTTTATCATGTTTCGTTTGTCATTTAAAGTGATGAATGAATGAAACATAAATGTAAGAAAATCATGTGTAACGTAAAAAGACGAATACACAATTATTTTTTTAACAGAATCTTTAGGAAGCCCGAAGAAAAATGTAGGTACGGAAACTTGCAGAATTATTGCCGGGAAAAAGTCATATGTAGCTTGTGTAAATTAAAAAAATAGTAATCAACAATAAATTGAATAGAACTCACCCTTTCGGAAATAAAAATACATAGAGGCACCCTGGTTTCACAAAAATTATAAACTGTGGCGGCCTGTATTTTTTAAACAAATGCCGTACCAGCAAAATGATAACTTAAATCCCCTCCGTAATTTCACGTGAACTACAACATATTTTATTTTAAACAAAATATCTGACATTGAGTGTAAGAAGTGATAGATTTGGTGTGGAATGTCCAATAAATATAGTCCGAATGACTTTATATTTGGACTTATTTACACTAGAAGAACCCTGCACAAATTACAGCCTACACTTTCCTGAAAACGTGGTAAAATGTAGGTAAAACTGCTCTTTAGGGGATGCACCCGCAATGACCTTGATCTTGATCTATGTTGTTAAAGTCATCTTCCTGAGTGAACTTCAGAACGTTTTAGTTGTCTCGTGTTGTTTGTTGAAAAGTTATTAACAAAATAACTTTTAAAACTTAAACGTACCTCTTCTACGTGCCACCCCCCTTCCCCCACACACACCCACGCCAAGTGCTAAAAATTGGACAGACAACCAGGATAGTTGACTTCCCCGTTTTGGGTTCCAACAACCCACAATCACACTGCATGTGAGTACGCGTGTGCGTTTGTTTGTGAGGATGGATGGAAAATCTTCCAAAGACTCCACGAGCCCGTGCTCTATGGGTTGTAGGATTTTCACTTTCGTTTTCCTGTGTCCCTCGCGGGACCGTCATCGGGTATTACTTTGCAGGCACACATCGATCAGGATACCCAGGTATTTCAGCGATGGTCCCGAAGTTATTTCTTGTTCGACAACAGTAAGGGTAATGGTCTCACTACACTTCCTGCTTGTAGTGAACTCCGCCTCAGTCTTATGATCCGCGTGGTGCAGACTCACTATTGAAAGGCATCGACGAATAGTGGCGATGGTCTTGTTGTAGATCTGCACATCTCCTTCCAGATGCTTTGCCACCACTGCGATAGCAACGTCATCAGCGAACCTAATGATCTCTGCGTCCTCGGGAATCTGAAGCCTAAATATGCTGTCGTACATCACATTCCATAACAAAGGGCCCTGCACAGGGACTTGTGGAACCCCTCCGGTGACCTTGTAGGCCCTATATCCCTCATCTGTACTGTAATGTAAGGTCCTATCCTTAAAGCAGGCCTGTCCAACTTGTGGCCCGCGGGCCGAAATCGATAATCGCCCCTACCGGCTTGCTCTTTCAGCCGAGGGGAATGACCCCCCCCCCCATATCCACAAGAAGCCCGACGATATAGAGGCAAGAAAGCGTGTGTACATGCTCTGACTGTCCCCACTTCCGACGCTCCAGAAATTCCTACCCGCACGTACCTCTTGCCGCACGATCGCATCGCAGCGCAAGCGAGTAGTGGGGAATAGACTGAGTGATGGTGGGGACCACGTCGTCTGGCGAAATGACTCGCGGGTCACATGTTGGACAGGCCTCCTTAAAGTAGCCGGTGACTATTCTCATGATGTACTCGGGCGCATCCAGCTGGCGTCGGGCTTCAACAATACAACTCCATCTCGCAGAATTAAAAGCATTCTTGATATCCAGAGTCACGACCGCATAATATTTTTTAGCTCCTTTCTTCCACCTCTTTTCTCCATTGGCCTTGCGGGTTGATAGTATCCAGAGTTAACCCCTTAACCTACGATTTACTTATCACATATTCCACAAATATTCATAACTTTAGGAGGGCGCCGCCGCTAATATTTATATTTGGCCCGATTATCGTATTACGGGCTATGCCCGTAATATTCACTTTTGGCCCGATCATCCACTACGGGCTATGCCCGTAATATTTACGTTTGGTCCGATCATCTACTACGGGCTATGCCCGTAGTTGTAGGTTAAGGGGTTAAGAGAACCTTTCTGAAATCATATTGGTGTTCCGTTGGGCCTCTGTCTCCCTCGGTGCATTTCTCCAATCGGTCACGTATTATCCTCACTAAAATCTTCCCTGCCGTATCCAGTAGACAGATTGGACGGTAGGATGACGGATCTTCCGGTGACTTGTTGCCCTTCAGGAGCAGTTTTATTTTTTTCATGAATATTTAAGTCAAATATCATCTGTTATTGTGTGCGTGTACAAGAAGAGTAAACGGTTGTCGGTTATGGCTCCCACGTAAACAACAGTTTTACGGTTGTACGTTATAGATATGCCCGACACCAATCTACGACGAACATACCTACCTGTCAATTTCATAAATTATTATTTTGATAGATCGTTATGCAAAGAAGATAACGACAAAATATATACGTTAATTAGGCGTGTATTACTGATCGTGACATCCGAAATCTACGTGTATTTTACAATTTCCCCCTTAACTTCCGGGTAAATCACTATGCATTTTGGACTACCTGAAACCTGTAGAAATACATATCTTGCACAAAGTTTTCGTTGGTCGCTGAGTCCAATATTTGCCAATTTCTACTACCTATTGTCCTTTACGTTAACATATAACATGCATAACGAATACGTTATATAAACGATAGGTGCTGTTAATAAATACTATGAACGCTAAATTGAAACGTACTTTTAGGTACGTGTAATTTCATGCATATCGACAAACTAAATCTATGTACTTTAAAATTTTGAATAACTCACCATTTAAAATAGAGTCGATCGTGCATCTATACAAAGCGGATCTCGAACACATATCATGTGATATAAAAACAAAATCTCGCTCTGCCGTAGGAAGAAACCATGCCACCAATTCAGTATCCGGTTGAACATTTTTTATTACCTCAAAAATTGGATCCCCTAGGTTCCAGGAACGAAAAACAAGAAAAAGCTGGTATTCACATTTACGATATCATATAGACTACGCCATAAAATTAAAGGATCACCTTTAACAACAAGGAGAGGTCACAGTCGTTACTTCATTGATTTTAATGAAACTTTTTCTAATAAATCTAGAGCACAAATAAGCCGACACGTATTTTGCCGTTTTCGCCAATACTCATTTCTTATGAAAATATTTTGTACTTAATTTTTATCATTTCAGCAAATACAGTGTAGGAACCGCCAATACCGACACTCAATGTATACTTACGATTAGATGTAATAACAATGATATAGACAGGGGCAACCTGCTAGAGGGCATTAGAGATGCCAACAAGGAGATCGAACAGTCGAATACGAGAATTAGTACGAACGAGACGCGTAAATATGACACAGGCATATGACCACATTTACACATATAGTTTATTCAGTTAAAGGCATGCGGCCAAATACTTTTTTTTGTTTATTTCTCACCATTCATACCTTACCTTATATTTAACCATAGTAAAAATCTTAAATAAAGGATGTTTGATCACGATGGTCTTTATTGCGAAGCAGATGAAGGTTCTCTTTTACGCAAACAAAACTTATTTAATACGTATTTATATGCATATATAAATGAACTTGAAAAACTTGAACAAAAATCTATTTGCGCAATATCACGGTTTACAAGGAAATTTCACGCTCTCGCACAATTACACCCGAAAACCAGAAGAAGGGACATCGTCGTGTCCGCGCCTTCGATATTACAATGCTATCAACCTATTAGACACACTCATCTCTACGCACTCGTTACCACCCCATACAATACAAAATTTAGTTGCATTCCAACAAAGAATAAAAGTGTAAGTGAATAAAGTATATATTAATTTATGTCCGTATAACAAACGGGCGGGCAGCCTGACTTCGGGACGGCTCAATAAGAATGGAAGTACAGGGGTCTCTCGATTATTGTCCCGAACTCGTGTCCGCGTAGAGATTATAACCGTGGATCACGCGAAGCACTTCTGACCCTCGTGAATACGTTTTTTGCCCGAAGCTCGAGCCTCGGCACTCGCCTTTGTAGTATTCCGAACGTAGAAAAGGACAAGTCAGTAAAAAACAGAGAGAAAGCTTCTTTTCCCACTCGACTCGGCTGCGTGATCCGCCTGCAACGCTCTCGCCGACCAATGGTTCCATTATGGCCGACCAAACAGTTCGATTGTGTGTGTACCGTTTCGGCCAATAATAAAAATGCGTGTGAATGGAGGTGATCGAGCTACATTTTATTCGTCGACAGCTTTCTGGGCAGTCGCTGACGATTGAACGCTTTGACTAATCGTCGTACAGTCCCCCGCTCCGTCCGTCGAGTCCTTCGAGCGTATACATTGTGGCCCGGCGCGCAAGACAACGCTAATGCAACCTTTTTGTGGGCTCCCAACGTTCAGTCGTCGGCTCGTGAACGGAAAGCCGTCTCGGCGCGCCGCGGCAACAATGTATGCGGTTGACGAGTTCCATGCCCCGCCCCCCAGTGGTCAGGATGATGCTTGGACAATAATCGCATATCAACAGTCATTAATTGCAAGACCTGTAATCAGCTCGAGAACCCGAGATCCAGCTATTTAGTGGAGACAAAGACGGAAAGGTTTACCACCTTTATTCCCGTCTTTTCTTAAATCATAATTTGTATATCATTATTTATTATTCATTTATATATACCTATATTTTCATTACTACCAAATCGTTTGTAAATATAGAATATGTCTATATACCTATTTAGATAAATACCGTGTTACAAAATTGGGAAATAGAGCATATTCATCTCGACGGTATTTTAAAATATTAATACCAGATACTTCATACTTAGTATTTTATATAAAGGGAATATATAGAGAACTATGTTCTTCGGGACAGGCTCAGGTTTACAATGAAAAAGGAACAAACAAATAACAGTGCTAGAGGTGTGCGAGAACTCGAAAATACCGAGTCGGGACGGATCGAGAATGTTTATCGGGTTCGGGTCGGGTTTTCGATTCTCAAAAGCATTGGGAATCTTGAATGTGTCGGGTTTCTCAAAAACTTCCGAATTTCCGAAAATGATCGGGATTCTAAAAAATATTGGGGTTTTTGAATTCATGAGGACTTATTCAGTTTATCACTTTGGAATTATAAAATATGGGAAATGAAGTGAAATAGTGCATCAAATATAGAAGTAATAATTATGAAATGTTTATTTTTTTTAATTTTCATGGAAAAAGGCCAAATTTTCTACATTTTCAGACAATTGTCTTGCCCTGTTCAATGTGATTATATTTACTGTCATGGAGAACAGTCGTTCGCTAGTTGTTTGGGTGGCAGGTACAGCCAAATATCGGCGTGCTATTTTTCCTAATTTGGGAAATCTTTTACAGTTTTCTTGCCACCAATTTGCAATATCAACCGTCCTTACTACATTATCTTCTTCAAAATACATTCTAGTTTCACCATCTTCACGTTCGGCCAAATTATCTATTGTGTGTTTTGTACTGTGTTTGCCCAAATTCTCTTCAACAAACATGAACAGTTTTGATTTTGGTTTTCCTATAAAAAAAATATTTGAATAACGTATTTTTCAGATTCTAAAACTTTTGATTAATTTATGAACAGTTTAGAGACATACCCATTATTATCACATTTTATAGTTAATTCATACTTATTACTATGAGTGTCAGAAGCATACGTAATATTATATTTTAAACAATTAATTGCTCATTATTTTCATTTAAATCAGGTCGCACGAATTCGAATATTCGTGTTGGTGCCACACAGACGTCTATAGAGGTGTGCGTACAACGTACACTCGTGACATCGTAGATTCCAAATATCGCAAGAACATATTACAACAATACTGAAGGCAACAATTTTTGTTACTTGCACATATTCTCTATTCGTGTGCGTTCTGCATATGTATGTTATGGAATAAGCAGATACATTTAGTGTTTCCAACTGATGGACGGATATCACGAAAAGATACATATTCCAAATTTAATAATTTCATATTAAGTAATTGAATAAGTTCTCACAAGCTCTAAACCTCCCACACGTTTTAAAACCTTGATATTTTCGAGAATCCCGAAAACTTGCGGGATTCCCAAGTTCTTGAGAAACCCGACACTTTCGAGAATTTCCGATACTTTTGAGAATCCCGACACTTTTAAGAATTCCGAATACTCTAGACTCTAGGGAATCACGACATAATCAAGAATCCCAAAATGTTCGAGAACCCGATATATTCACAACCCGTCTCGACCATCGGGTTCCCGATATTTGGGGTTCTCGCACACCTCTAAACAATACACAGTAATGGATATTTCCTGGATGTTTGGTAGAAAGGAAATACGAAAAGATGACGATTTATTCTTTAATGTTTACATGTAAGAAACATAATTGTTCTATATTTTTCGGTAGCAACTTAGTTCGCGTACTACTAACGATGTGTCCAGCCCTAGGAAATAAGCGTTCGCTCGTCGTTTGGGTAGCGGGAATCGCAAGTACTTGTCTTGCAGCTGTTTGTAGAATAGGATATCTAGTGGAATTACATTTCCACCATTCCATTATGTCACTTTTTTGCTTTGTCAAAACATTTATCCGCTTTTGATTGTTTTGTAGCTAATCAATAAAAAACACATTGATAATTCATTAATATAGTATGATTCATTATGTATATACATGTATGTAGGTATCCGTATAATTTGATATCTTACAATTTTCATTACTGGAAGTACTTTTCAGATTGCCGTCAATATTGAGTCCTGAGTTGTTTTCAGTTTCGCTATGAATGTCATCTATTTTTTGTTTTAATTTATGAATGGCTGTATGTTGCTCTTCCTGAGGCAACAAGCGGCCTTTAAACCTTGGATCCAAGAACATAGCAGTTACTATTGTATCTAATTTTGTAATTGGTTCGAAGCGTTCCTACAAATAAAACATTTTATTCAATAATGCTGTCGAGGTCAAAATACTCTATCTCCCAAGTTTTTATACGGTATTTATCTAGATAGGTATATGGACACATTCAATTTTTACAAACGATTTGGTAGTAATGAAAATAAAAGTGAATTTATGTAAATGAATAATAAATAATGAGATACAAATTATGATTTAAAAAAAGACGGGAATACAGGTGATAAGCCTTTCCGTCTCTGTCTCCATTTAATAGCTGGATCTCAGGCTCTCAAGCCGATGACGTCCGATTCTTGTCGAGCCGTCCCGAAGTCAGCCTGCCCATGCTCAAGCCCCCCGGGATCCCGAGTAATACGGGAGTATCGAGATCCCGCCCGATCCCGCCTGAATTTTGCCGTCCCGTCCCGCGCCCGTAGTTTCGGGTACCCGCACACCGCTAGATATCTAACAACAAAAAATAAAAATGGCTAACAAACTAAAAATTGTAATCTGGAATGCTAATGCTCTACAGCAGAAAATACAGGAGTTAAATCTCTTCCTTTAAACCAATAATGTCGATGTAATCATCATTATTTCTGATTATACATAATGAATCATCATTATTTATGAAATATACTTAGCAGATAAACACTACATGAAGATTCCGAATAATACGCTATACGATATTAAACACCCGCCTGGTCATGAACATGGCGGATCCGCAGTAATTATTAAAGACAACATCAAACATTATCTTCACAGTAACACGTGACACATATACTTGCAAGCAACTACGGTAAATATTGAAACTACCAACAGTCCAATAAATTTATCCGCTGTCTACTTTACTCCCAAACACAAGCTAACTATGGAACACTATTCAGAACTTTTTAAGTCGCTGAGAAAAAGATTTCTCGTTGGTGGAGACTATAATGCTAAACATAGGATATGGGAATCCAAAACAATGACACCAAAACGTAAAACCTTTCAGCAAGCGATCCGAAAATTACACCTCAATGTTCTTTCGTCAGGCGAACCGACATACTGGCTAACAGCATGTGACAAAACTCCCGACTTAA